TAGTGCTTCAGAAAGATTTAATCAGTAAGAGAGGAGATCACTGTATTATTATTAGACTTTAACATTAAAGTGATGTCAATGCAAAAAATACAAAGCAAGGAAGCACTGCACACATCTGCTTGTGATCTCGGGAGCACTGATTGACTGCACTCTGCAGTCTCCAAGACTGGTTGGAGAGCAGAGTTTAATACCTTACCATCTGATCTAAATCAATACTCACGTAAAGACATGAAAATCAGATTACTGACTGTTCCTGGAACTGGATTAGAAATCGCTCGACAATACGCCTTTTGTTTGCATTTATCAAGCAAATTCCAACACTATCGTAATCAAATTCTCCACATTCTCTTAGCTGTCGTTGTGCTCTCGATACCGATCATACTATTCAAGCTGAACCTCTACAACAGTGGTTGCCAACCTTTATGGATGGCCAACAAAATAAATTTTCTAAGTTGAATATTTCTTGATTTATACTATAAATCATGAAATATTCAATCAAGAAAAAAATGAAAATGCACTACCGATCGTACAAGGACTTACCTAGACTCATGCATATGTTTGGGGAGCTGCTTCTTCACAACAACAACAGCTGGTATTTATTTAGCGCCCTTCACTTGGGCAGCGTCTCAGAGCCACAGGTTGGCCATCACTGCTCTACAGTGTGAGCAAAAACATATTTTATATGTATATGCTAAACCTTTTAATTTGGATAGAATGATAGGAAAATTCTGCATGTCTGCTGGTGTTGGGTGGGAGGGTGGGCAGGAGACAGAAGGATATGACAAGTTGTGAAATTAAAGGCTGTTCCATAACATATTTTACTGTTGTGATTGAACTCAGCTGACACTCAATGTGAAGGCTCACTCACGAATATAATCAGTCTATCAGCCTGGCTCACTTGATAACTCTCGAGTCGAGAAGATTATGGGTTCAAGCCCCAATGCTAGGATTTTAAGCTCAAAACCTAACATGGCACTCCAACGTAAAACTGGAGGACTGCTGCATTGCCAGAAGTCTGTTAAGATCCCACAATGCTATTCCAACAATTACCCGGATAAAACTAGTCATTCACTTCATGGCTGTCTGTGGGACAATACTGTGTGCAAATCGGCTGCCGCGTTTCACCTACAAAATACACAGTCACTGTACTTTACAGTAAATCCAGAAAGCTCTGAAGTGGATTGAGATGTCCTCCCGATGTGAAAGGTGCTATACTAAATGCCAGTATTATTACTATTGCCAACTGAACCAAGTTGACAACGTATGGCTGAAAATAGTCCTTTCATTTTGTTCTCCCCCCTCTCAGAAAAGCAGAACATAAACAGCTAGTTGAGTTGGCCGTGTGATGTTAAGCAGGCACAGTGTGTTCTTAAAAGTCCTTTTTGGGACCCATTCAAGTCTCTCCTGCCTTTTGAAGAGTTCCACAGTATAATGGATATCGGCATCTTTATTTTTGTGTGGCTGGTAACTTAAAGTTGGTCATGGCTGATTAAAATCTGCGATTTATTTTCATCAACCACTTGAATTAGCTCAAAGCGCTCAGATTTATTTTATTTGGCACGAGTATTCCATCACTATAACAGTGGAAAATAAAGCCTGTCCGCCCCTCACACAAACAGGTTTTTTTTCCTATGTGTGGGTGTGTCTGGAAATTCCTACAGCTGCAGGATTTGACTGACTCCATAGGTGAAAGACAGCTTTCTTTCTTTTCATTTGGAAAGGTGAACGGATGAGTGACAGAACTCACATATATATGGGTGTTAGTGGTCAGAGCAGATGCGGCAGAGGCAAAGGAACTGGGAAAAGGGAATGGTGTCTTTACAGGAGGTGAGGTGGGAGGAGGTGTAGTCCAGGTAACTGTGGGAGTTGGAAGGCTTGTAAAAGACATGTGTTGATATTCTATGCCCTGGGATGGAAATGGTGAAGTCAAGGAAGGGAAGGGAAGAGTCAGAGATGGACAATGTGAATGTTATGGAGGGGTGGAAGCGAAATTGATGATTTTTTTCCAGCTCACTGCGAGAGCAGGAAGGCTCCACATATACATGGAGCCTTACCTCATTGAAATATCTCAAAACACTTCTCTGGTGATTGCTGGCAACTGTTGTGTCTGCTTTCAGTAGTAATAATAGTAACAGCTGCATTCGAAATAGCATCTTTCACATCAGGAGGACGTCTCAAAACGCTTCACAGGATGCACAGCAACAACTTGCATTTATGTAGCACCTTTCACATAGGGTAGCATCTCAGCTAAATGTAAACTTGTATTATACTTGTAGGTAAGTTAATAGGAAAGTGGAGCAATCAATTTGGGCACAGCAAGGTCCCACTAACTGCATGAAGTGGACATTAATCTGATGTGAAAGAACCTGCACGCTGCCCACAAAATGTCACTGACATCACTCTGTGAGGCTGGGAGGGGAAGCTGATAGCCACAAGGGTGCCGTACATCAATGGATCAATGGTGCAACTGAGCTAAAAATGGCCTTGTGCTATACTGAAGCACTTTATAATGGGGTCGGCCTGATACCAGGCATGTGGTGATTCTGAAAGCCCAATACGCCAAGCAAGAACAGTATGAACAACTCAAGAACATTGAAGGTCATAGGGATAATTATAAACAGAAATGATCAATTCCTCACAGAATCCTGTGCTGATGGGACCACACCACAGAAATTCCAGAGTCAAGTCAACTGGCTCTTAAAATCCAGAAGAAAAAAGACAAATTCTACAAGAAAATAAGACTTCAGAGGCCCAATGCTGCTGAAGCGATACATCAATTCTTTTTTTCTCTAAAATGTTTTCCCTGTGCAGAGAGAATCCATACTGAAGTAGCTCACTGTGACCCTGTCAGCAGGCAGAGGCGTTCATCAGCTGAGCTCTATTTATTTTTACACCTGAATGTGTGCTCTCGCTCAGTCTGGAGTGCATCTGCGTAACCGCAAGCAAACAGCAATCTTCTCCTGAAGGAGGCTATAACGGGATGAGTAGTGCATGCATTAATGGCATGGGATTCAATGGGATTTTTTAAAAAAACTCCCCTCTTATCATTGCACTATCTCCCCTCTTTGCAATGTATTCCCCTGACGGACCTCTCATCAAACAAGCAAATCAGCTCTGCAACGCAACAGAACAAAAACAAAAAGTTTACAAAGCAGAGAATCTCTCTCTGTCTCTCTTTCTCTTCACAGGTCTGAACTGTACTCCTAGTTACTCAGAGGAAACCACTTTCCAAAAAAAAAGGAATGAATAGAGGAAAAGAAGAAACAAGAGGCAAACAAAGTGGCGGCTAGATGTTGATGTGGGTTTAACCACTTCACATGAGGACAGTTTCAACAAGCAATGTGGCATTAAAAGAAAACAGTGGAGGAATGCTAGTGGAGAATTTGTTATCCAAACATTAAACTGTCACCAGGGAAGAAGGTCCTATTTTACACTACTCAGTCCACTTGACACCACTTTGTGCTTCCTCTGGTCTGGAGCATCTCCAGCTCAGCCGCACACATTTACATTTACACTTTAGCAGATTTGGCAGCATTACATCCTTCAGATGCTTGGCTTATGTGTATGTATGGAGCAGTCATCAATGTACAGTGCACAGTGATATTGTTAATGCTTTAGCTGCCGTTTCATTTTGAATCTGCTGCTTAGCAACAGTCTCCTCCTCTGCCAGTAACCCACAATGACAAGAGGGAGTATTTTCCAGAATCTTATCTCCCTGGCCACTCTTTGGTTTGGGTTCGCTCGATGGCTCCATCACCCGAGTGATTGGGGCAAACAACTTGATGGCGTCCATATATAGGCTTCACACATAGACAGCCTTGGAAACGTTTTGTCCCTGATCACTAAATCAGATTAACTAGAAAATCAAGAGCAAAGACACTCGAAAGTTAGGCTCATCGACTGGCTTCCGATGCTATTATTTCAGGATCGTTCAATCGTGTAAAAAGAAAACCTGTCAAAGGCGCGAGCATTTGGGAACAGAAGTTGCACTGAGCCACTTACGCATGACCTATTACTCGCCACTCACTAACCAGAAACACCAAATTTAAAAGCTGCAAATATACTAAAACACGCAGTGTCTCCATGTTTTATTTCTCTGAACTTGCAGTATGTCAAACATGGACATTCACACGAAATCCAGACCTGGATCAGACCCAGCCTACGCAAGCCCGGTCTACATCAACAACAATATACTGTCCAAGAGCAAGTTTACAATGCACGCAACCTATGGCAGACCCTAGTATACTGCAGACCTCTGTCTACAATGCACCCCGTCCTATAGCACACCAAGGCCTTTTTTTGTTACACAATGGAAAATAATTTGGAATATAAAGACAATTGATTGATTTGAAAACAAATGTATTGTGATCATATCCTTCATCACATCAGGTGCTCCCAGATACTTCTGTTACATTAGCATGCTTGACCTGGCACATCTGTTTCCCGTCTAACCTCTCTCTTCCACATTTAAGCTGCCTTATGCATTCCAAGATGCTACCTCGCGTGAAGGGCACTATATAAATGCAGGTTTGGTGCATTTATTCAATAAATCATACTCGAGTACCGGCAGTACCAGCTGAATAATTCTGTCCATCTACTGGCCAACACAGAGCTGACAATTCCTATCACAGGATAGGACAGGAGGCCCTCATCTGAGCATGTGCCCAACCTCCACCAAATGCCCACACCAGTCACAGTGCCCCACTGTACCCAGGGGGACCTAGCCTAACTAGACACTCTGAATAACGAGTCGCTGAACCCTTTTCCTTTGGTATGATGAGTTATCAGGAGTTTACTGTGTATAACTGTACTGTATGGTTAACCACTTTATCATAATAATCCTTGCATTTGGCATAGCGCCCACTGTTCACGTCAGGTGAATGCCCAAAAGTGCTTTGCAGGATATATTGTAAAGTGACTATTATGTTTTGTGGGCAAACAGCAATGTTCCCAAAGAACAGACCCAAGCTTAAAACAGAAAAGGAAGCTCATGTACTTACAGTGAGGCTCATATGGAGGGGGAGGGTCTCCGCACGGAATACACTCCATTTCCTGGAAACCACCCAGCTTGGTTTTTCTGTAAAATCTGGGGACAAAAGGAATAAGAAATCAGTGTTCTGCAATACAGGTTTATGGTATTGATCAATGCGTTTGTGTTTCTGTTGTTTTGAAACAACAACAAGCATTTATTAGCACCCTTCACGCAGGGCAGCGTCTCGGAGCGCTTATCAGTGGCGGACTGAATGTACACAATGTTGACGTCCTTCATATGAGATGTTAAACCTATATCCTGTCTGCCTGTTGAGGTGGATGTTATTAAAGATCCCATGGCACTATTTGAAAAGCGAAGGGAGTTTCTTCCAGTGTCCTGGCCAACAATCCCCAAATAAAATTGGTTACCCACTTCATGGCTATTCATGGGACACTGCTGTGCACAAATGGACTGCTGCATTTGCCTACAAATATATAGTCACTACACCTTTCAGTATACATACAGAAATTTACAGTACAGAACGAGACCATTCGGCCCATCGAGTCTGTACTGGCTCTAAGAATAAGCTATTTTTTCCATCCCACTGCCCTGCTTTATCCACCTTCAAGCCTTTAACTGTCATACTTTCTGTCTAATTCTCTCTTGAAACCCACAATGGACTCTGCCTCTAGAGTTTACTTGTCAGGACATTCCACATCACATCAACTCTGCGCGTGAAATTTTTTTAGCTCTCCTTTCATTCGCATTGCGCCTATCTTATATCTATGTCTTCTAGTCACTGACTCTTCTACCGGTGGAAATAGGTTCTCCCTATTCACCCTGTCAAAACACCTTACAATTTTGTACACCTCCATCAAATCCCCTCTCAACTGTCTCTGCTCCAGTGAAAACAGATGTAACTTTTCCAATCTCTCCTCATAACTGTAGCCTTTCATCCTTAGTATCATTCTCAGAAACCTCTGCACCCCTGCCAAGGCTTTAACATCCTTCCTAAAATTAGGGGCTCCAAACTCTCTGAAGCGCTTTGAGAAATCCCTACTGATGTGAAAGGCGCTAAACAATAGAAAGAGGAGTACGAGAAACCATTAGAGAAATGATGGCGATGGGTCAAGTAGGACCGGAGAGGGAAGTCCCACTGAGATGGATAAGGGAGGAGACGTGGTTGAGGAGGATGGCATAGTCCACTGTGTCAAAAGTAGCAGAGATCCACGGGGACAAGGATGCAGAGGGAGCCCTGGTCACAGAGTCAAAGAATGTCATCTGTAACATTGACGAGCGCTGTCTCAGTGCTGTGAGCAGGACAGTAAGAAGCTGGACTGAAGGGGCTCGAGAAGGGAGTGGGAGGAAAGGTGTGAGCAAAGCTGGGGAGTAACAATATGCTCCAGGACTTGAGTAAAGGAACGGCAAGCTTGAGATGGTGCTCACGAGGTTACTACAAACGCTTAAACCACACACTTTGCAAACCCTATAGATTCACAATTCCCAGAATTCCAACACGTGCTCCAATAAAAACAATAAAATAAGTTTATTCGAGGGTTTTTTGGATGAAAGTTAGGATAATTTTTTACCAATCGACTTTCACTAAAATAAGTTATCAGTATATTTATCAGTGAGAATCTGTAAAACAAAACTTCAATGGTATTTCAGAATAGGGACAGGCTATATTACTTAGAACTATTTGGACAACTGTGCCATATTCTCAGTATCCACCCTTGTTTGTATTTCTCATTTCTTGAAGGACACACCACTAACTTGTCACTAAAGCAAATTGACACAGAGCACTAAATTCAAGCATTTAAACAAAAAAAAACTCGCCATTTCGCACCCTGACCTTCTGTTAACTTATTTTGAAAGCTGGTTTTAGCAAACAAAGAATGGGGGAAACCCTTTTACAGAAAGTATTAGGCTGCTCATCTTAAAGCGAACAGTAAACAGAATGTCAGGCAGTATAACTGGGTAACCTGCTAATGGCTTATAAAACTCCTAGTACTCACCATCAGCATTAGCAGGAGGATCAAGGAGTCATGCACACACAAGTATAAAACAACATCGTGGGAAATGTCTTGAAAACATCTAAATGTACCAATACCTCAATCTCACCATGTTAAAATAATATCCATGCATTTAAAATCATGCCTTTCAAATCAGGAGGGTGTTTTAAAGCACCTCACATAATGTAAAGTGCAGTGATCGTGTATTTTGTAAGTGATTGCAGTAGCCAATTTGTACCCAGCAATGTCCCACAAATAGCCATGAAAGTAAATGAACAATTTTATCTGAGGAATTGTCGATCTGGACATTGTTGAGACGTCTCAAAGCTCTTCACAGAATATACTGTAAAGTGAATTATTGTATATTTTGCAGGTGAAACACACCAGCCAATTGATAATAAGCAGGTTTCATTTATCGTGGGGGTTAAAATAGACCTGATTGTGGGAGTTTTGCTGTGTTTTATGAATTACTGGACGACTGCAACATGAGCCTTTCATTCCATTCCCAGGGACTTGGCAAACACAGAAATCAAAGCCCACGTCCCTTGAACCTACCCTGTCAAGCAATCTCCACACACAGCGTTGCTGATGGCTGTGCAATTGGCCTTTTGGACCCGGTTGATGAGAGCGCAGTCCAGGCAGGGCTTACACTTCTGAAATCCCCAGTCCTCCTTGAACCTGCTCGGCCTGCAGGTCATGCACTGTCCATCATCCCCATATCCGAACCCGCATTCCTGTAAGGATTAACAAGAAATACCTACTGTTTGAAAAAAGGAGCGTGAATGGGGAGAAATGATCAGGATAAAAACAAGAGGCATGTGTAATGATTACTGTGGACAGGCTTCAGCCAGAGACAATGACCACCTTTCAGGACATCCAAAAGTCCCTTTCACTGCTAATAATCTCCCTTACTGCTTTAATCAACACTTAATCATTCACTTATTTCAGAAACCACAGATCATTTGAATGATAATGCGTCTCTCAGTCCCCTACCGTTACATTATTAACAGCTTATGGCGGAGTTATTGAACTGCGTTTTAATTAAGTCAGTCATGTGAATATCCAGGGGTCTATCTGCTTACACACCCCATTCAATGCAATTCGCAAGAGAAAAAAAAACAGCTGAACGGAGCAAAGACACTCACCGTTTTGTTTCTCAAGGAGCGGATTCTTTCTGTAGGCAGATAAAGGACTCACCGTTTGAAACTGGAAGTCTAATTTGTGGGATTTCTATAATTAGATAATTTCTAAAAGATTGAATGTGCTGACAAATTAATTACTGACTAAGACTAAGACTGACTTTAAGTCCTTATTAATTATTAGTTACTGACGTTGCTAAGACTTCCTTCTGTACCTATGTCCTTTTTGAAAATTTAAAATGGCACGGTACTTGCTGAGAAATCAGTTAAGAAATCTCTCAAAATAGATCCCTAAATTACGGCGTTCAGTTGGATTTGTACACCGAGCGCCACCAGCGGCAGAGTGTTTAACGTAACCATTCAAATCTTTGCTCCTGGCTTTCTTCAGTTATTAAATCAGAGGACAAGACTGAGCATGTAGAGCAGAGGATCAATAGTACAAACTGCCAACCACCTCAGTCTGCGTTTGTCAAACGGCACACAGCAGATTGTCAGCTTAGACCTCAGTAACATTCCTCTCAACTCCAGACACTATTCTTCACATGTAGTGTTATAAGTCATATCTGCTGTATAGCAAAATATTTACTTACTTGGCAAACAGAAATGGTCACAAGGCCTTTTGACACATATACCAGAAAAGGAGTGTGTTTTTTGAGGAGTTAATATTTGCATTCAGCAGACAGACAGGATCTCGGTTTTACATCTCATCTGAAGGTCAGTACCTCTAACATTGCAGCGCATCCCCAGCACTGGAATGAAATGTCAGCCGAGACCCTGTGAGTTCAATGTCCAGATATAGGGCTTGAACCCACAGTCTTCTAACTCAGAGGTGAGAGTGCTACTAACTGAGCCAGGCTGACACACTAGACAAATGCAGATATGTGAAGAAAACACTAGGAGTCAGGAATTCACCCTAATTGTTTGGTCAATAAAAATAATGGACATCTTCCATCAAGACTCAATTACAAGAAATTCAACAATAAGCTCCCAGTCCACTTGATACCTGGGTTTAAATTCTTTCCAGTGTATTATTTTTATTATGAAGCATTATTCATCCCAGTTACTTTACAATGTTTGATTAACTTGCCATTTGAAAAAGGGAAACGTTTGAAGTTAAAGTTCACTTTGCTTTATTGGGGTCATTACAGTGAGTTACTGCCTTTTAAACCCAAGTCTCACTATTGATTTAATAATCCAGTCTCCTACTTTAAGGGCATTATCTCACTCACGGACAAAGGGACTCGGAACAATAATGTTTGAAGAGACATTACTAGCTCCAAGCCTTCCACACGCACAGACAATAACACTGTATATACACCGATAACAAACAAAATAAAGTGCTGCCTTTCCTACACAAACTCCCGTGTTGCACACCTGAATCAGGAAGTTCCAACAGAAAGGAACTGGTGTGAAAAACAATCCAATAATGCCCAGACCGGCCTCACAGCACATCTGAATTCCTGTAGCATTCGATAATTACATGTCTTTTTACAGCTCTTGCAGGATATTATTTACTCAAAAAATTAATTCACAACGTTCAGCCCTTTCTTTGATCAGCCAGGTACGTATGTGACACATGCGGAACACCCACCAACAAGCTTAATAATAATGAACGAGGGTTCCAACCCCCAACCAGACTAGTAAGGGTTCCGACATCCAGCTATTGGTCTGCTCTTCCCAAACCTTCCAGCGAGCCAGGCGGGCTGCTCCTTCAACATCAGTGCCTGGTGTACAGCGGACCTGCCTGACTCAGTGACCATAGTACAGATTTTGCAAAACATAAAGTGCAAGTTTCACAAATTTAGCCAGCATTGGAACAAATATGGTAATGCACTCATCAAATCCATCCTTGAACAAAAGAGTATCAGGGAAAATGGGCCAGAGGTAATAAGGCAAACAGAACAGCTGGAGAAACTCTCAATGATTCAGTTCAAGACAATAAATTGATTCCTATCAATGATAGGAAGTGTTATTCTCCCTATATAATATTCATAAACTAGGTAAATATTTGTATGTCCCCAGGTTGTTTTCATAAATTATTTGATCTCTGCACGATATCAAGGAGACTGATGCTTAATATCTGCAGTCATGCATAGAGAGCTCTGAATTAAATGCTTTCTTCACATAATGCAATGAACAAAATTAAAATAAGACTTGATTTGGACAATCCCTGCCAATGAACAATACCAAGCTGTTAAGGGTTAAGCTGCAGCGTGCATTTCACTGAAGTTAGGAGTTAAAACGGCAAAGTACGGCATTTCAAACACACCGTGAAGTTTAAAGAAATGCAAAATGAGGAACTGTTAGAACCTAATCATAAACACTGTAATATTAACAAGAACAAGTCGCTTTGAAGTGCGTGCCAAGTGCAAGTAAAACATTGAAGTGGCTTTGTGAAAAGCTGCCTCCTGACAGCCTGCAGAATGGAAGCTAAACGTTTGGACAAGGGCAACAACATGGTTCATGTACAAGGAAAGCAATGCTTTCAAAAATGACTCTTAGGGAGATAGTTTATTCCCTTATGTAAAGGTACCCTGTAAGCAATGAGCTGTTAAATAAACAGAAATGACTTTCTACAACACTTCAAAGTAACCTGAACTTGTTAATATTCCAGCAGTTTATGTATAAACAATGACGTTCAAACCATTCCTCATTTTCCATACTGTCTGCCCATTTTGATTACAATACCCTTTTGAGGTGCTGCACTTTGCAACCTAACTCTTTCAACGTCAGTGAATTTGATCCATTTTGCTGTTTCACTGAGGTTTAAACTGCACACTAAAGGTTATAGCTAAAACCTTTTTTTGTCAGGGTCCTCTGGTTTTCTGTCAATAAGAAAGTGAGATAACAGGAGAAAGTGCAGTGTTCCTTTGATGAAGCCAATCGCTTGCTGCTAAAGATACAACAGAAACTTTTGTGAAGAAATAGGGCACTGTATGGAGGATTTAACAACTACAGCGTTTAGGGTATTCATCCATTTTACAGGAGCTCCTCAGATTCACCACCCTCATTCAACATAAGCTCTTGGCCATGTGCAATCAGGGAAACAATTATTTCAGTGTTTCAGTAACTAAAAGAAGTGTCACGCTGGCTCAGTTGGTAGCACTCTCACCTCTGAATTTAAAGGTTATGATCAAACTCCATGTCGGGATTTCAAAGTCACCATCTAGGTTGACAATTCAATGCAATACTGGGGTGGGGGTGGCGGGGGTGTTGTTTTGTGGGAGGTGCCGTCCTTCGGATGAGACATTAAACTTAAGCCGAGACATTAAACTTAAGCCGTGTCTACTTGTGCAGTTGAAAATTAAAGATCGAATTGCACTGTTCAAAAAGAGAGTTTCTCTTGAACTTCTGGCCAACAATCATCCAAATAAAATTGATCAATTCACCTGAATTATACAGGAAAACATGTATAGCTCTGTATTTGTACTCTAAAATTAGGTATTTTTTAAAGGAGTAGGGATTGGAAAATTTTTTTTTAGTCAGAATGGCTAAAACTGGCTGTCAATCCCACGTGAAATGAGGGATGTTCCACTACAAGGCTCAAGGGAATAGTTTTTCCAATTAGGAATAAGTTTGAGGAATAAAGTTCCACTTGTTAGTGAGTCTAAAACTTGAGGGCATAAATAGAAGGTAGATAGCAGTAGATCTAGTTTAAGAGGAACTTCTCCATACAGAGGGTGGTGAGGATGTGGAAATCACTGCTATAGTTGAAGCAAAATACATGAATATATTTAAGAGGAAAGTGGATATACTCATGAGGGAGGAGGGAATAGAGGTACAGGGAAGAGAATTTGTGTGCGGTATAAACACCAGGACGGACTGATTGGGCCGAATGGCCTATTTCCTTCCCATATCACTCAGTATATGTTCTTGCTCGGTGAAGGCCCGAGGCTCTCAGTTTAGTGACTGAGGGTTGAGAAGACAGGAAGAACAAGATGAGCCAAGAAGTAAGGAAATTAATCAAATTTCAACAGCGTCTTATGTCACAAGTAACTACAGTGCTTTAGACAATTGAAAATAATCATTACATTTGATATAGCACCATATCATATCATCAAAGCGTCTGAAAGTGCTTCATCAGATTTACTGTAAAGTATAGTGACTGTATATTTTGTGGGGGAATGTGGCAACCAATTTATTCATGTAGGCAAAGCAGTAGTTAAATAATGCTAATCATGGGATTTAAAAGTCTGTAGATGATGGGCAGACAGAGAGGGAAGGAATTCCACAATATTAACACCCTAACAATGGAAAGTTTTGAATAAATAGAAAAATAAGCCGAATGTTCCAAAGATAACTTAATACTAACTCAGCTTTCATTATTTACTGCACTCTTAGATGTAAAGGGTAGATTTGGTAGGTAAGTGGTACATCATTATCTTTTAAAAATCATGCTTCTTTTCCCCTCATCCATTCTTTTCACTTTACTCACCGCTGGATGGTTTGGTTCTATCCAGTTTTCTTTTAGTTTCCATAGCAACACCAATGCAGGCTTACAAACGTGCTAAACCAGCATGGATACAGGAAGGCCACTGACACTTTGTGAATGCACCTTTCATTTAAAGGATTGCTTTGCGAAAAACCTTGTCTTGTGTAAGCTCTGGTCTGAAGGAGCAGACAGAGTACATCTGACAGTAATCTTCCATTCCAGACACTACCACGACTTCTGTGCTCCACTTGAATCTCCGCCAACGTAATAAAGAGATGTAATCTCTTTTGTTAAGTATTAACGGTAAGATCTTCCAATGAATAGAACATCAGCCTTTTAGGTGCCTAGTTTCCTTTTCATAAAACTTTCTTCCAAGCTTTCTTTTCCCTTTTTAGAAAACTTTCTTCAACTAAAGAATTTGATAAAGTAATAGTGCATCAGAGCCACGGGTGCTTTAAGATCGGGAGATATTTTTCATTATAGGTTACTCCACGACAGCAGGACCCAGTAAGAAGTATGTGGAACTTTCAGTAAGTTTACTTTAAAGACTCTTAAGCAAGATAATGGGTTTCTGCATGTGTCAAAGACACCCAGTTGACCAAAAAAATCTGGCAGAGATCTGTAATATTAATAATAATAATCCTTACATTTGGTTTAGCACCTTTCATATTGGGAGAACATCCCAAAGCGCTTCACAGGATATACAGCAAAGTCTAATGACTGTATATTGTAGCTGAAACACATCAGACAATTTGACAATGACCCACAAACAGTGATGAAGTGAATGACCAAGTTTATCTTTAGAATTGTTGGCCAGGAAACTCCCTTCACCTTTCGAATAGTGCGGTGGGAGTTTTAACATCCACTTTAACAGGCAGATGGTTTAACTTGGTTTAATGTCTCATCTGAAGGACAGAATTTCCAACAATACAGCACACTGCCAGCACTGGAGTGTCAGCCTAAACTATACAAATTCACAGTCCCAATGTGGGGCTTGAACCCACAACCTTCTGATTCAGAGGCTACCAACTGAGCCAGGTTGACACACTGCATTCATTGTTCAAGTCCTGTACATCTCTGGCAAAAAGGGTTAGCTAAAGGTGACATAGCAGGAGGTGCCCAGAAGACATCACTCCTTCAAAAGTAACCAATGGCTCATTTATTAATTCCACCTTCAAACTCTGTAGAAAAGATTCTGTTCTCCTGAAAGTAATGACTCAATTCTCTTTTTGTTCCAAATCTGTGTCAACTGCATATTAATTTGGTTGGCTAAACACTGCACCACTGAAACAACTGGACCCTATAAAGTGCCAACAGGGAAACTACTGTAGTTACAGCAATCGCTGCCTGGGAGACTGACATGAAAAGTCACCATTGAATAATACGGGGCAATTTAATAAAAATAATAATCCTCATATTTGATAAAGTGCTTTTCACATCAGGAGGACACTTCAAAGGCCTTCACAGGATTTAATGTAAAGTTTAGTGATTGTGTATTTAGTAGGCGAATGTGGCACAGCAGTACCCTAATGTTTGGGGTGGGGAGGGGGACATTGCTGTGCACAATTGACTGCTGTATTTGCCCACAAATCACAATCACTGCACTTTATAGTACATCCTGTGAGGTGCTTTGGGGCACCTCCCAACATGAAAGGCTTATACCAATATACGTATTATTATTACAAAAAGAGACTTTTGCATAAAAAAATCACGAAGCTGTTATTCTGTACAGAAAGATTCCTTCCAATTGCAGCTCTGGAGGAGCAGCATTGATGAGACTGGAAACGAGAATGATTCATTTCTAACCACTCTTGCTTAAACTTGTTGTGTGTAATTTGGCTCCTCAGTTCCTGGGCCAATGATCAAAATTCGCAATGGTCCGTGAACAACAAAGGGTTAGCCGAGCACAAAGGCACAATGTGCACAAGAACAAACACTTGAATTTCAATGGATGACATGGCATTCTCACCAACAAAAAGTTACCATTGTCCCTGCCTTCTTAGCATGACGATGTAAAGCAGTTCTAATGTGGGTAGGAACAAGATGATGGAACTAAAGATAACTTGAAGCCAAAACAGTCATCAATGTCTGACAATGTAAACAACAACTTAATCTACTCTCCGCTACAATAGAAAGACTTTGAAATATACCCCCCCCTCCCAACCCCCTCCACTCCCCACCCCACACATACAATTTTCAGACAGAATTACGACAATACTTTTCTGCCAAATTTTTCCCAAATCCAAGTTTACATTGATCCCCCCCCACCCCCCCACCAGAATTTAAAAATGTTTACAAAGTGGCTTTGATGCAAATTGATCAACTACTTTAGAAGTGAGGTAATGTTTTTGGCTCAGTTGGAAACATATTTTTGGTTACGACAGAGAGATTCAATTCACTGATAAAAGCTTGGCTGGCACTACATTGTTCTTGTTTTCATTTCGTGTTTTCAGTGGGTTGAATGTGGATCCATATTCTACATGCACGAGTTAGCAAATGCAATGGAATTGGGCAGAACTTTCCAGAGGATCTAAATCAGGATAGCTTCTTGGTTCCACTGTCAACAAAGCCCCTGTCACATGGACTTTTGAACACTGCTTTCCTGATGCTATGTCTGAACCTGAGGAAGACAATTGTCCAGCAACAGAATCCCCCACACATCCCACCAACACCACACCAAACAAGTTGAGTTTAGCTTGAGTTTAGCATGAGTCAGGGGGGTTGGGGAGAGACAAGAGAGAGAGGATGTAATTTTTTTAAACTAAACACAAATTTAGTCTGAACATTCCTCTTGGCAGATTTATATTGCCCAGCACTTTAAAGCTGGTTGAAACAGAACCGACTCTCAATTACCCTAAAGCTACTGGTGCTTGCATCCCGCCCTATTTATAAACAATTGGAAAACCAAAGCAAGAGAAAGAAAATACTGCTCAGCCCTGGTGTCACGTTGGGACAATGGTTTCTAAGCCGTAACTTTAAATCTTCAGTAGCAGAGTCTATCCCCACTGTGTGAGGAAATGTGCTTATGGGTCAGGCAGTGTGAAAACTCAGTGAACTGTGCAGGCCAGATTCATAGCTCAGTTCAATCCTTGATCATAGTACTTGGCGTCAGTGAAATTGCAGGCAAAGTGACAGACACTCGTGTGCACTGGACACTGGAGACATGTTTAACTAGGCTGCCACACATTTTAGCCTACAGGACAGACTCTGGATGCCAAAAGGAACTCATTGTAATCAAATACCCTCTGATTGGTTTTACCGTTCTTTCCTACTAAATCTTTTTCATAGGAAATTCTGTATGTAACTTAGCAAAATAGATTGCTGCTTATAGTGACCAGGGTTCAGTTGACTCAGGCTGTGTAAAGCATTTTTTTTCAGGTGGATACATATCAAATGCAAGTGATACTATTGAACACAGCATTAAATAGTGCTTATACAACGCAGATTAATTCAGAGCAAGAGTTGCTTTACATGTCTGAGTGCAAATGGGCCTCGCAGGAAAACAGTGTGAAGTGGAGCTTACTCCCCAGTGTGCATTGGAGTCAATGTTACTACATATGCACCGAAGGACAATGGAGTGAGCAGCAGGGATTCTGGCCTGACTTTTTGTACTTCCCTGTGATCTCTGAACCAGTGGCCCTTTTGTGTCAGGCCCATAAACAAGTCAGTGCGATGTGAACTCAACTCATTGCTGCAAGGTCTGCTCCAGCAGAGGCAGCCTAAATGGATTGTTTCAGACATACCCAAGGGAAGAACCATTACCTCACAGCGGATAAGCTGGGACTCTGTCCGCAGGCTTTGTATGCTTGACCAGATGGTGCTGCCAGCGCTTGTCAGCAGTCTCATTCACTGAGAACTTTATGCTGGTGAGTGTTATGTGGCATGGGCTCAAATTTCAGAAAGGACTCGCTTGGGACAGATGAATATGACTCATTGAGGGGTTCTCTGGCTGTATGTAGGAAGAAGATGAAACCAGAGAAAGAGAGCAAACACTAAAAAGGAGAATTCCTTTGCTCTTCATACCTTTGAGAGTTCCTTTCCTGGGCTGCACTGTTTGCAGGCCACACAGTTGCCAGCTTGGTCTCTGTATTCATGCTCTCGACAGTCTCCCGTCTCTCCAGCAGCTCCAAGAGCCTAATAAACATAAACAGGCCTTCTAAATCAAAGCAGTTCACATATAGACATATATTGAAGTCAGAATAAATGTTGATAATAATAATAATCACTCTGGCATTTTATATAGCACCTTATTGCAGCAAAAGCATTTCACAGAATCTACTGCAAAGTATGGTATTTGTAGGCAAATGCGGCAATCATTTGCGCACAGCAATATCCTACAAACAGCCTTGAGGTAAAAGACAATTTTTTTCCCTCTGGGGGGGATTGTTAATAATAAAAACATTGCTAACCTTGCCAAAGTGTCAGCGCTAACTTTAATGTACACCTGAACTCGGTTTAACGCCTCACCTGAAGGAGTGTCAGCCTGAGATATGTCGGGCTTTAACAATTCTAGAAAGATCATTTTCCCTCTGCATTGCAGTGTTTATAAACATTCTGCAGCCAATGCAAATGCAGCTTCATAAAGTTGAAAGAATTTGGCATGAATGAATGAATTTGGCAGATGAGTCTTTTGAGCGAGAAGAAACTGCAGAGCTTGTTGCAAAAGTAGCGAGCGATTTATGCTGCGATTAACTTAGTACAGTTGTAGGTTACCGATACCGATGCCACCATAGGACTTTGGTACGACACTGGGATCTGCCTTTCAACTGTGCCATGTGTCTCCAGGGTAACATAGGGTGGTGCTGTGGTGTTGTGTTGCTGCAGTGCAGCTGTCTGTCTGCACAGCTGGATTCCATAGCCCAAGGCCTACAGTGGTATCAATACTAGAGATGAGACTGGGCCTCCGGCTGTTTTATAACTGATGCTGGCGAACCGCTTAGTGCAACCTCGACTTCTACATTTAAAACGTTCCAGTGGATGAGAGTGCAGAACATCACATGCAATGACACAATCCGTGCTCAGACCCCACAATGTTTCCTGATTGTCATGAGCAATATAGTGGGGCCGTGCCTGAACAACCGATCACTTTGGCCTGTCTGGTCTTTTTTCCTGGTCCCACTATCAATTTAATTGTCAATGTGAAAGGGTTCGCAATGGATAAAAAANCACCATCGCTTGCTCTTCAGCCACTGGAAACAACAACAACAACAACAAAATTACACTTATCAAGCGCCTTTCACGTCAGGAGGATGTCCCATGGTGCTGGACAGTCAGGGGTCAAGACCCGAGCATGGAGGAGGGGTGGCGTAGGAGTGAGGGAAGGCAGAGAGGTAGGAAGGTGACTGAAGGCACGATCAAAGAGGAGGGTCTTGAGATCAGCCTTGAGGGAGGCAAGGGAGGAAGCGAGGCGAAGGGATTGTGGGATGGAGTTCCAGAGTGAGGGGGCAGAGAGGCTGAAAGCTCAGCTACCGATGATAGGGTGGGATGGGCGGTAGACATGGAGCAGGCCGGAGCCTGCTGAACGGAGGAAGCGAGCAGGTTGGTAGGGAGTCAGCAAATCAGAGAGGTAGAGAGGACGGTCAAGGACGGCCTTGAAAGTGAGGACGAGGATCTTGAATTCGATCTTCTGAGGGATGGGGAGCCAGTGGAGTTGGGCGAGGGTGGGAGTGATGGGGTCACGGAGCCTGGTGCGTGAGAGTACACGAGCTGCAGACTTTTGGATGATCTGCAGCTTGTGAAGGGAAGAGTTGGGAAGGCCGATGAGGAGGGAGTTTCCATAATCGAGCCTTGATGTGACGAATGCGTGGGTGAGGGTTTCGGCAGCCTGAGGGGTGAGGCAGTGGCAGAGTCTGACAATATTGCAGAGGTGGTGGTAGGCAGTGTCAGTCATGGCGCGGATGAGGGAAAGAAAGAACAGTTCAGGGTCAAACAAGATACCCAGGTTCCTGACTGGCTTAGTGTGCAGCTGTGGAGGCTGATGCTGCCAGTGCCTGAAGTGCGGATGCGCTGGCGCGAGCCAATCAGGAGAGCCTCGGTCTTGCTGACGTTCGTTTGGAGAAAGTTGGCCCTTGTCCAGGACTTGATGTCGGACAGGCAGTCGGTCAGGACGCCAGTAGTCCTGGAGTTCAGGGTGGAGGCAGAGAGATAGAGTTGGGTGTCATCCACATACATGTGGAAATTTACCCCATGCCTGCGGATGATGTCATCAAGGGGGAGCATGTAGAGGGTGAAGAGGAGGGGACCGAGGACAGAGCCCTGAGGAACACCGCACAAGGTGCAGAGGCTGGAGGAGAAGCCATTTGCAACAACAGCAGAAAAGGCCTCCAGTCAGACTTGTAGTATGAAGTCCAACCGTCTTAACAGCAGCCTCAATAAACTATACTTGCAAGTCTCTACCTGGGGCTACCTATATAAACTCTTCCAACCAGGCTCTCCCACATGTACTCAGTGCTCCTTCAGTTCTGGTCTCCTGCCCGTTCCTCGTGCTCTGTATCTTACCATTACGTGGTTGAGGCTTCAGCCACTACATCCCTGATCGCTGGAATGCTTCCAATACCTCTTTGCCTCACTTTCCTTTCTTCCCTGTCTTGAAACCCCACTTCTTTCTGTTTCAACCATGCCAATCCCATTACAATTGTGAAACTTTGAGATGCTAATAATCATTCTTGCATTTGATACAGCGTAAAATGATGTCGATGAGACTTCTCAAAGCGCTTCACAGGATCTTACTGTGAAGTGTAGTGACTGTGTAGTTTTCTGTAACAAGAGGCACAGCCTTTTTGGGACAATCAGATGTTTTCAGTAGAAGTGCCTTTGCAGTACACAAGACTGCTGGTGATTCACTCCAGCTGTTGTGCAGATGTTTCCACAGTCAAGAGTGACTTTGCTTTCTGACTCTGGGACTCTGTCTGTGTCAGCAAGATGCATACAGATCAGTGATGTTGATGGATTCCTGGATTGAATGGCCCGCGGCAGTTAAACATATCACGGAAACTGAGACCACCAAATACATGATTTACTGTGTGAGGAGAAAACCCACTTCCGGTTGTGACTTCAATGACTAGTTTGCGAGACAACGCTACAGTATTAATGATTCAGTCAGAATGGTCAGTCTCAGTAAGGTCTAAAGTTATTCTGAACTCATCTTTGAATATTGCTTCCTTTCGACACCCGGTGGATATGGAATGGCCTACCAGGAGTAGTGGTTGAGGCAGAATCCATATTAGCTTTCAAAAGGGAACTAGATAAATACCTAATAGTAAGCTACAGGGGTATGGGGAAAGGGCTGGTAAAGTTTGAAAAAACTGAAACTGAAGGTTTGTCTTGAAAAGAGCTGACAAAGACACAATGGGCCAAGTGACTTTATTTATATTAAATTTCTATGGTTTCTAGATTCCTCACTCCCTCTGTCCCTACTCAGCGCTTTGGGACATCCTCCCGACCTGAAAGGTGATCTATAAATGTAATTTTGTTGTTGTTGTTGCAATTCATCAAATTCGCCAAACCTTCAGCCAGTATATGACACCCCTTCTCCTGAACTCTCAAACTTTCTGTCTTGTACCTTCTACCTTTAAAATCCAATTAAAAATATAGTTTTGAGACCTTTGCCATGCCTTTGATCAACACCCTCATGCTCCCTTTTCCATGGACTCTCTGCTCCCCCACTGACCCAACGCCTTTGTGAATCAGATTTTGAGACATTGACCCCACAAGAATAAACAAGTTGTCTGCTTGCATTTTATTCTCAACTCCCAAAATAAGAAAAGCCGTCAGCGCAAGCAGAAGTAAAGAGTTCAACAACATCTGATAACAACAACTTGCATTTATACGAGGAGTAGTGTCCCAGAGTGCTATCGGGTGGTTCGCTCAAACCTGAATTTAGATCAGCGCCAGTAAAAGGATTAATGGATAACAAACAATTGAAAAACCCTTTGACTAACCCTATTTAAAACCCTATTTAAAATGAAACTAAAGTCCCCATTCAGTTATCTTCTTGAGCAAAACAAGCATGTGTGTCTGGGAATATCTCTAGAGGCTATGTTGTTAAAAACATATAGGGGAACTTGCTGAAGTTGTTAGAAAAGTATCCGCTGGAAATCCCCTCCACGACTGCAGACATATCTTTTATTCTTCTCTTGCCCACTCAAAAAATTGATAATTTGTCCTGGGTAATGTTGGACCAGTCAAGGTAACAGCAGCAAAAATATGCATCGAGACAGGTAGATCTTCAAATGAATGAATAAACTATTGGGTTGAACATCAATCGAGGAGTCAAATTTCTCATGGTTAAAAGAATTTGTAATATGTGCACCACACTGCCACTTAGTGCAGCTAACTCAAACACAGCATTTAAGGGGGAATTGGAGAGATTCCTGATTTACTAAAGAGTGAAGGGTGCATGAACAACTTGCACTTGTATCATGCCTTTCCTATAAGAAAATCTCAGTACTGATGGTGTGGGACATCATGAAAAACAACAACAATAAATTACATTTGTATTACGCCTTTCACATCGGGAGTATGTCCCAAGGTGTCGGACAGTCTGTTATTTGGACCTGAGCAGGGGATCGAGATCGGGGAGGGTGGAGGGCAGCAATAGGAGGGTGACCGAAGGCATGGTCGAACAGGAGGGTCTTGAGATGGGTCTTGATGGAGGCAAGGGAGGGAGCGAGGCGGATGGACTGTGGGATGGAGTTCCAAAGGGTAGGGGCAGAGATGCTGAAGGCCTGACCGCCAAAGGTGTGGTGGGGGACATGAAGCCTGCTGAGTGGAGAAAGCTGACAGGTTGATATGGTGGGAAGGGAAGGTGGGAAGTAAGGCAGGGAAAGCAACCAAAGGCATAGTTCAAAGAGAGGAGGTTTTCTAGAAGGACTTCAAAGAGAGGGAGGGAAAATAAGGTAGAGGGACCTAGAGAGGGAGTTTTAAAGAGTTGGGGAATTGTAATTCAAAGCTTAGCTGTTGATGGTGAGGAAAGTGCACCATTTTGCGTAGAGCAATATCCCACAAAGCCATGTTGTGAATGACCAATTTTAATTTGAAGGAGGACACCCAGAGAAACTCCCTTCTCTTTTGAAATAGTACCATGGGATCCTTAATCTTTAACGTCACCCTGAACAGGCAGATTTGTTGTATCCAAATCTGCATTATACTGACCCAATGTAACGCAGTGTAACTGGGTCACACTGGAGCTGTTTTTGTGTTGAAACATTCCCATCTTCCTATTTTACCGGAGTCCAATATGCAGCACTTTTTAATGAAATTTCTTAATCAGAAATTGGGAGTCCTGCAAATGTGGAATTCCTTCCGGCAATGGGAGCAGAGCTCATGCAGGGAGACAGGAATTCTGGCAGGATTCTTGGAAATTCCTTAATAAAGAAATTCCTTAAGAAATACAAAACATTAGAGCTGGCTAACTCTTTCCAGGTCTACATGGATTTCATGGAATGAAGAAACAACATACATGCCATCCTCTTTGAATTAATCTGTCCAAATAATTTTGTTTCTCGTTAGAAAATATTATTAAATGTCATTAAAGCAACTGATTTATTGTCCGACCCCACTTCTAAGTTACCCTGGTTACAGGTCTGGCAACCGGTTGATTTATAAATCTGACAGATTCATTGCTGCTAAGGAGATGTTGCAGCTGTACAGAGATCTATTTAACGGCCTTTGATAGTGCACCAGAGATTCTTATGGAGATAAAGAAAAGGCAGTGACAAAAAAGTCAGAGAGGGAACACTTTGCTCTTTTCTGAATAAAAAAACTGCAATCGAGACATTTGGATTATTTTGTTTGATCTTTTCCAAACAAAGAGGAGCACAGGAACTATCCCTGACAGTGATGCGAGTCTGTCTGGTGATTTAAGACAAAAGACAAAGACAAATACTGTTTGGCCACAGTGGAATCTGGACTACAAACTTTTCATTAGAATTAACCGGTCTTGTGGGTCAGGCAGACACTCTCATTATATTAAGCAGATAAGCTGAAACCTCAATAAAAGCCAAATCTCTCATAAGAAGAGCTCTGTGATTCCTGGTCTCTGCAAGTCTGTAATAACAAGATTGACTGTGTTCCATTTTTCCCCCTCTGAATAAACTTTCTATCTAGCCTAACCTTTACCCTGACCCTGATGAATAAACACAAAACTCCACAGTTTAATACAGTGAATATCGCAATGCGCACAGCGAAGGGTTAACGTTAGACCCAGCAATTTGAAGGAAATATTTTGGCGATGTTACTCAAGATAGTGTCTTTTGGCAACAGAAGTACAGCACAACATTTTCAAAGTCACTTTAGTCCAAACCTTCAAAACACGACAAGTCTCTGTGTTAGATAGACCCCTTCCCAAGAAGAGTCAACAGCAACACTTTGAATAGTACCTACTCTCACCTGACAAAGAGACCCAGAGTAATTTACTAGCTTGTAAATGTTTCATACTCTCAGATAAAACTACATACAATGCATTCTTATCACATCTGAGCACAAAGAGTGCATTGCTTTACAATGATATACTATAATTTCATGCAGTATAAACATCTTTAAGGGTTAAATCAAATGGATCATCTGTGAACCACCAACTCCTTACCAGGCAAAGCAGAGCAATCAGCAAGTGCTGAGACATGATTTTCTGTTTGGGGAACATGCCAGCCCTCATTCTCCTAGAAAAGATCCTCTGGTGAGAACCACCCTGACCTATTCATCAATAAGTAAATCTAGAAAGTAAAAAGACAGAAGTTAATTACAAGTAAAAAAAACTTTGTAAAAGCAAAACCTACACCAGAAATGCAATTCCTCCATGGATATAACAAACTGCTAATGAATGTTCCTCCCAACACCCATTCTCTACCGTACTCAATAATTTGCGATATTGGCAAATTAGGCTTGGAATGCACCAATTGTGACTTCCAAAAGCTGTTAAATTTACAATATTCAGAAAATAAAGTGAGAAACAGCACCACCACCACCAACAACAACACGCATTTATATAGCGCCCTTCACACGGGGTAGTGTCCTGGAGCGCTTGACAGTGGCCAAAAGAATATAATGCATCAAGGGATAAAAAGTCTGAAGATCAAAATGCCATTCCCTCACGTCTCTGTTTCTCTTCAGGTCCGTTTTTTCTCTCAAATTCTGGACATTGATAATCTTGTCAGCTGTCAAAAAGTGTGATGACTCCCTTCTGGATTCCTTTCGAAGGATTGCTGCAAACCATTGGGGCTAAATTCCACCTGGGTCGAGAATTACTCTGTGCAACATTTCAGAGTGTGCAGAATTTGGCAATTCGATGAATTCACCTTCAACTTTGCTTTCTATAAAATGTATAGCCACTACACTTTACAGTGTAGTGAGCCTTCAGCTCCCCTCTCGACTCTCTTCCCCCTTCTCGCTCCCTCCCATCCCTCCCCCTGACCATTTCCCCCTCCTCGCTCCCTCCCCTCCCCTTGACCATTTCCCCCTCCTCGCTCCCTCCCCTCCCCTCACCCTGACCATTTCCCCCCTGCTCGGGTCATGACCCAACTGTGCAGCGCCTTGGGACACCCTCCTGACGTGAAAGGCGCTTTATAAATGGAATCTTGTTGTTGTTGTACACTTTACAGTAAATCGGTAAAATGTGCTTTGGCACGTTTCGATGACACGATAAGGCGCCACATCAAACGATCGAATATAAGGATTACTATTATTACTTATAATTTGGTTTGCCGTACTTCTTAAAATAACTTACAGAAAATATCTTCAAAACTATATGGCTGTTTTAAAGAATTTGCCAAATTCTGCATTTTCTGAAATGCAACATAAACAAGAGTAAATCTAGACTGAGGTGCAATTTCTCCTCATAAATATTTAAGTTCTAACACCCATCCCCAAAAGTATGCTATATAAAATTGCACCAAGTACCCAGTGTGGATTATTTCTTGTTAACAATATCATCAAGATTCTTTTAACATTTTATTTTATAAAGTTATGCATACAGGTTTTTTGTCAGGCGACTCTGGTGGTACAAAAAAACTAAGTGAGGTGCAAAAAAAAGCCTTTTTTTTAGAGAGTCATAAGAGAATGCACACACATATTGGTTTGTAAATATCTGCAAAGGAGCTGAGGAGTACAGGAGTTTGAACAGAAAGAGAACTGTCTAGTCAACTATTATGAGACCAGTAAAGCTCTTTAAAAGGCAAACTCCAATAGTGGAGTGTTCACATCCTGGGTAAGGTTTTACACTGATGCTAAAGTTTGAACCACATTAGCACCAACTCTTAATACATTACCAAGAGTCTATTTGTTTCTATTTGTAATCGATTCAATGAGAAATGTCACATTTCGCTGAAATTAACATTCCCTTCGGATCCCACCTTGTAGATCACAACATATACAGTTCTTGCAACACACAATGTTATTCTGTGGAGCGCTTTGAGACGCCTCAACGATATGATCAGGCACTAGACCGAATGCAATACTATTACACGTCGATGCCGATTCCCTCGCGAGGGGGGGGGGGGGAATTGTCAGCGATTGTCCTTTGCGTTCATCGCCCATCACTGCCTTTTTCTTTTTCAAGTTAATTTTCCCTGCAGCAGAGAGCCTCGGATGGGAACCCGCTGAAGAACGCAAGCCAACCGCAAAGACGTTTTGCCGGGCGAACGCAAAGTTGGGTGACGGTGTTCCTTCGACCGCTGTGCGCGTGTGTGTGTAAAAAAAAGAAGAAGCTAATAATCCACTCTAGCGACCAGTGTGGTGGTGGGGGGGGTGGTGGTGGGTGGTGTTGGTGGTGGTGTTTGGGTGTTGAACGGGGTCACCCATCTCTTTGAGCAGCAACAGTCAAGAGAAAGCCTTGGGCTGCAGGAGGAGAGGAGAGGAGAGGAGGGGATAAAAAGAAGAGGAGAGGAAAGAAAAGGATGCAAGAAAATTCCCAAACCCCACCCCACCCCATCCCAGCCACAACTTTGCCAAACGAGCATCTAAAAACCTGTGTAAAGAACAGTTTCAAGAGGGCAAAAACCTCCCATTCGTTGCAACCATTAGAGTTGCAAACAGCTTTAGAGCGCATCACACATCAAACACAGGCTCTGACCCTTGTAACTTGACTTCAAATCCATTCTTGCTCTCCCCCTCTCTCTCTCTCTCTCTCTCCTCTCTCTCTCTCTCCTCTCACACACACACAAAAAACCTCCTGTTTTTATTACCTGACCCGATGGTTTGCGGACGGTCGCGGTGTGTAACAATCTCGTGCGGTTTTGTTGCGCAAAAAGAAGTCTCCGACTCTCTGGTTCAAGCGATCTGATTGCCTTCTGCAAAGAGCCGCCACAAACCCCAAACCATTCCTCTCTCCTCTCTCTCTCCCTTATCTCTCCTCTCCCTCTCCCTCTTTCTCTCTCTCTTATCCCTCCTCTCCCACTCCTCTCTTTCTCTCCCCTCTCCCTCTCCTCTCTTTCCCTCTCCCTTATCTCTCCTCTCCCTCTCTCCTCTCTTTCTCTCTCCCTAATCTCTCCTCTCCCTCTCCTCTCTTTCTCTCCTCTCTTTCTCTCTCCCTTATCTCTCCTCTCCCTCTCCTCTCTTTCTCTCCTCTCTTTCTCTCTCCCTTATCTCTCCTCTCCCTCTCCTCTCTTTCTCTCCTCTCTTTCTCTCTCCCTTATCTCTCCTCTCCCTCTCCTCTCTTTCTCTCTCCCCTCCCTCTCCTCTCTTTCTCTCTCTTATCTCCCCTTTCCCTCTCTTTCTCTTTCCCTTATCTCTCCTCTCCCTCTCTCCCTTATCTCTCCTCTCTCCCTCCTCTCCTCCTCTCCCCTATCTCTCCTCTCCCCTCTTTCTCTCTCTTATCTCTCCTCTCTCCACTTACCCCTTCTCTCTCTCTCTCTCTCTCTCCTCTCTCTGTCTCTGTGTGTGAGCACCAGGATCTGAGCAGTATTTAAATGTCATGCAAACTAACACTTCAAAGAGGTGGGGAGGCAGTGCCCTCAGACTGCAGTAATCTGATCAGAGATTAGTGTTGTGATCAAAGCCTTCTGCAACCCCACAGGATCCCACTTGAGCACAGGTAGATCCCACAGGACAAACTGTGTTACACCCCCACAATTGCAAGATTTTCAGTTGAGTTGTACCTGTTTCTTTTTCGGATGCAACCTCTTGTCTTGTGCCTTCCCAGTCTTTTTTTTTCTCTCTCTCTCTATATATATTGATATATATATATATAGATAGATATAGATATACAGGATCGAGCCTGTCCAGGTTTCCTGGGCTGTGGAACTGTTTTATCTGAGTCTGATCGCTGGGTTGAGTGCAGTGCTCAGTGTATGTGTGTGTGTGTGAGTGAGAGAGAGAGAGAGTGTGAGTGAATGAGCGAATGAGGCAATTCCCAGCTCCAGGGGTTACAGTCCTAATGCCTTTCATCTCAGTTCTTCAGATCCCATGACATCATCTAAACTTCAGAGTGGATCAGGGATTGGCTGCCAAAACAGGCATCCTGGGGAAAGTCAGTCACAGCACAGAGCAGGACTTCTTAATCCTTCTCCAAGGCTGGGTTTGCCCCCACATCACTGCTTAAATCGAGCCCGGTGTCCTGGCCGGAGCCACACAATGAGTGCTGCTGTTCACAGCTTAAAGACAATGCGTTTATGAGCCCCAGTAATTCATGTGAAGCGCTTTGAGACCTCAAGCCCCGAGGTGAAAGGCGCTGGGTCGATGCAAGGGTTACTATTATTAACCCTTGCAGGAGTCCTGTAGGGTATTCGTTAGAGCGCTCACTCGCCGCACAAGCGAGAGGACCCAGGTTCGATTCCCGGGCAGGGCGAAACCTTAAGCAAGATTCCTTACCTCACCACACACCCAACAACAGTCCTGGAGTCCTGTAGCTCAGTCGTGGAGTCCTTAGCTCAGTGGTTAAAGTACTCGCTTTGCAGGCGAGAGACTGGGTTCGATTCCCGACAAGATTCCTTACTCCACACGCCTGATAATAATCCCTCAAGAAAATAAAAGAATAATAAATTGGTCACTTCAAACCATGACTGTTCGTGGGACACTGCTGTGCGCAATTGGCTGCTGCATTTTGCCCCCAAATATACAGTCAATTCATTTTACAGTCTACAACAACAGCAAGATTACATTTGTATAGCGCCTTTCATGTTGGGAGGACGCCCAAGGTGCTGGACAGTGTACAGCATTTCAGTGAATTCTGCGAAGCGCTCCCATACAGCCTCCCATACAGCCCCAGTTGAGACCAGCAAACTCAGCACAGTTCGAGGTTCGAACCCTTGAGCTCATTTCAGTCTATTCTGTGAAGCGCTTTGAGACATCTAGAAGACATCAAATGCAAGGATTATTATTATAACAACACCTCATTTAGTATTATCTATAAATTTAGATATTATTCCTTTAACTCCCTCATCCAGATCATTGATGTACTGTATGTAGAGAACAAGAGAGATCATGACACTGTCCCTGAAGCAGACCGCTAACTATTCCCTGCAACTGGAAGAATATACAGTACCTTAATTCCCACTCTCTGCCATCTATCTTTCATCCATTCTTCTGTGCAATGTTAGAGCACTGACTGGTAAGCTTTCTGCTGCTTGTCCAGCTAGGACCACCCTAACTGTTAGGGAGCTGAAAGGGAAGAATTCCTACCCCCAGTGGCTGGTTGATCCGTTGCACTGGCTTTCTTTATTCAATGGATCATGCAATTAGGATCCTTGGTGGTAACCAGAAATCTGCACGGAACTTTGCTATGAAGTGATTTACCTCCAGAGTAAAGTGGACATGAATTCTAACAGAGTAGGAATCCTGTTAAGATATAGCCCTTGTAATGGGAAGAGCTGAAGCTTATGCACCAGGAGCTCATGGGTTTGAACCTCGAACTGTGCTGAGTTTGTTGGTCTCAGCTGGGGCTGTATGGGAGGCTAAAATGGTCCTGGCTTTGCTAGAATTAGGGAGGGTAAACTCAGCTGGGATTCCTGAGCCTGGGTCTTCTACAGCACCCTCTACTGGCAATGCTTGTGTAGCAGCTGGGTGAAGAGAGGTTGGCTTGGCTGTGATGCCCTCTATAGTCTTGCTAACATTGACTGTCAAAGCTTACTCAACCAATGGCCACTGGGCAGGGAATCAAAGGGCACATTGCACCTATGGATCCTCATTCCAGCAAGTGGAGGCCAGACCAGGAGCAGAGGTATCTGCTGGTGGGCAGCAAATTACAAAAACTAATTGGAAACACTATATTTTCCAGAAAGGACACCGCAAACAGACCACATGAAGTGAAAGTGTGTTTTCTAATAATGTCAAGCTATCAAACAGCTGCTAGTTTAATAATCCTTGCATTTGATATTAGCAAGTATAACATCAAAACATCTCCAAGGACTTCACAGGAAATTAGTGACTGCATAAT